CTTCTTTAACTCATCAGAAAACTCCATTAAGAGAATTACAAGTAAACAATACATAATAAAAGTCATGTTTCCCGCCCGACAAGACTCTGCCCATTCTACCTACAGCAAGCGAACCTCTTCGAAACCCCCCGTTTTATGATTTTCTTCACTAAACTGAAGTTCCCACCTGTAACTATAAATTCATCGCATCATCGTCCTCATGTTCCCACTCAATCTCCTTCACAGTTTCCGCTAATTTGTCAATCGGTTCCAATTAAATCTCAATCTCCTCGTGGTTAAAAGCCCTCATGGACGAACGCCAGCTGTCCACTGTCCGAGGGACAACACGCCGCACATCAAGAATCAAAGACCCCAGAAGGGCCTCACAGGTCTGGCCAAATTCGAAACCCAAACAAAGACTAATCAAAGACCAACGAGATCTTTCAGAGCCGCCGTTAACGAGGCGTCCCGTTACCAAAGCGTCCTCCTCGAGTTAGCGGTTCCATCGGCGCGAATCAGTCAATTGAACCAGCTGCAGTGGACCTAGTGGTTCTCGGCTTAAATATTTACTCTTGTTATTTCGCAAAGTACAACGGGAAATAACATCGGTGTCGAGCAAAAATCCTTCGGTTCGTCGAACCTCTTATCGCGCTTAGACGTCAGTCTGGCGTGGACCAAAAGGATCACTAGTCGCGAATTGTGGATCCACCTCGCTTGCTCGTTCCACAAGGTGCTGTGGGACCTGAAGATCCGTTTAGAATGAACTTGACAAGTGTCTTCCTGTCGCTGGCGCTACTTTGCCTGTCGGGGTGTTCGACGCAGACGCCGAAGAACGACGATTTCGTGGGAAAGAACGATACACGGACGATGGATAGTCACTCGCGGCGATCCAGAGCTCTCATTTTCCTCAAGGATCCCGGGCAACTTCTGGTACGTACCGTCACGGATTGAGCTCGACGAGGCTAACGAACCGTCGCTGAGGCCAATCGAGTAGCCAGTCGCGCGTTGCCTCGAGTGCTCGCGATTGGTTTCTGGCTTTTCTTCTCGTCGCTCGAGTGGAACTGGGCATTCGCCTTAGGTGTATCGGGAAAAGTAGAGGGCTACGGTCCTGTGTTCAGCAGACTTTTTGGCGAGTAATTGAAGAGCAGAAGCTGAGTTAAGGGACACTGAAGAAGTCGATTGTTGGACATTTTTTCTTATTGGATAATAATTGGATAATGAAATTCGTGAAATGTACATTTTCTGTATTTGGAAATATGATTTTTGGAGAGTGATTTAATGGCTTGTTTGGTAGAAAATATTCAGATGAAGGTGAGATATGGTCTGGGTTAGGTCGTATCACGTTTTCGCTGCAGCAATTTCTAGTACCCAATTTCTCTTAATTAACCCTTTGACGAGTACTATATTAAAGTAGTATCAAAGTATGTACTCAAATATGTATAAGAAATGAAATATTCTTTACGTCATGGAACAGAGGTTACTTATAAACCGTGTGTACTTTTCAAAAATGCTTACTCGTCGAAGGCTTAATAGCATCGATGCTACAAACTTCAAAAAAATAATAATCTGTTACGAAATTCACACGTGTGAATTTCGTTTTGCTCGACGACAAGCGACCCTATAAGCATCGATCGAGCGTTTATTAACATCCAGAACGGACGTTTAAGCAGAGAACCGAGAAGCTTCGCAAGTGTCGCCGAGAGAAGCTTTGTCGGCGCCCACGGCGGAACCCCACTTTGATTATTATCGATTCGCTCAATTATTCCGAAAGAGAAACGTTCGCAGCGGGCTGGCCTCGCGTGAAACCAGCCACCGTTTACGGTCCAGCCGCTCCTTGAATAATTCCCAACCGCGCCACACGTCCGAGGCTCATCCAATTTTCCATCCACTGTGTTTGGAAACGGTCGTCGTTCGGATTACAATCCCGCGCGGCTTGATAGGATGAACGAGCCCGTGACCAGCCGTTCGCGAACCTGCAGCTGAACCCACTTGGACCACTGGATTTCGCTTTGTGCGGTCGAGGAGCTGAGTGGACCGGCCACCGGGGGCCGCAAAAACTTCAATTAGTTGTCCAGAGTCCACCCAAAGCGATTTCAGCTTCATAGATTTAGGTGTCTAAGATGATTCAGTCACCTAAGGGTTCAGACTATTTCATTTCTTGTATCTTTCGGTTTTGGAGTGTTTGATCTTCTGGATTGCCATTTATCCACTTGCAGTTACTGGTGGGAGTTGAAATTCTGTTTGTAGAGTGAGTTCTGGGCTTCTAGAGTCGAGTGTGGTGATTGTTAACAACATCTCAGAATTCAAACTCTTTTGTTCAAATAGACTAGTTTTCAAAATATAAGCGTGGTCAATTGAGTCGTCTGAACTACTCTGCATTCATTTCTTAAACTTTGCTTGATTCAAACTATTTTCAACAGGATTGATCCTTACCTGCTGTACTTAGACTGTGAATGTTCGTACAAATTCATATCTTCACAGCCATAGAAAAAGAAGATAGTATATAACTTCCTCGTGTTTCCATTTACAATAAAGCATAAACATCCATTACATTCTAGACTAGCATTCAGTTAATTAGAATGATTTACGACAAACATCGTCCCAACAACCTCTAATTCCGGTAATACTTCTCCCAAGCATGTGTTCACGTCGTGATTACCTCCGCAAGAAATGAAAATAATAACGGGAGTTCGGGTACGCCGAAGACGACCATGAATAATCCACGTTGTTAATGACAATTGTCCCGCTCGCTCATCGTCCACCCACAAATCTGTCCCGTCTATTAGCATGGCAATTACCCGTGCGGCTCCGCGAGTAATAACCTGTCCCGAAAGACTTGGCGAGCGCGTATAACGTATTTCGATATCCATCTTCCCGCTCCGATATCTCGCATAACACATATTCCGCCTGACCTTTCAGGGTTCATCCAATTTCTGCGCCAGGTGGATACCTATCCCCCTCCCGCACACGTGCGCTACGTGGCTCCCTCCCTATACATATTCATGCGCACGTACACGCGGCATCATGGCCCGGTATGAATTTTCGATAAAACCGCGAATTTCCACGGAGAATCGTTTCGGGCCGCGCGTCTGGGGAGGACAGTTTAACGAGATTCGCGGAGGGCTCGACGGGGAAGGGCGCAAAGCGTTTTTGCATCGAGCCCGCTGCCAATTGTGATCGATACAAGCCCCGGTTTCGACGATATACGTACGTCGCTACCTAATCGCTCCCCGTCTTGGGGTTTGCTCAATTTTTAGATTTCTTTACGTGTCTTTAGTGATGGTACAGATGAGAATGGTTATTAATAATTCTTTGAATGCCCCTCAATTCTTGAACCCTCCCAATAGGGGTTCTAGGATTTTACTTTTTAATAGCAAAGTATGCCTGTGAAGTAGTGGACACTTGAACCGCTGTATTCCTCAATGGCTCCACCTTGGAGTTTACTCAATTTGTAGTTTTTTTTTATCCTTCATCGTGAGTCTTTAATGTACTTGTTTGTGCAGGAAAACTAGTCATTAATTATTTCTGAAGTTCAGCATCAGCTTCTCTATGCTCTTTATAAATAAATAGTTTTAGGAAGCTCTTACGTATCCTTACCTTACCTTATATATAATTCTTAAAGTAAAACCTACAAAGTGCAGTAAAGTGAATGACAAAAGTTGCAGTCAGGAAACTTACTACCACCCAAAGTATGGACCTTGTTATGGCAAAAGAATCTGTGTTAAATAATTTGACTGAGCTCAAGAGCCATTGATCGCTAACCCTAATAAGAATAAGCTTCCATCTTGTCCATGACACTCCAATTCAAAGGATATGACTATCTATCTAGTAGCTGAATAGATCCTCATCTACCACCCTAAAGACCATCTTCGTTAATGTTTCTTCCAAAGCAATCCACTCTGATTCCACAAGCATTCACCACGGACTCTTGCTTTTGAATGATGGAATCTTGAGGGTCTTTAATAATCTCAGACTCAGGCTTGAAAAGTGATTACTACAGTCAACGACGAACTCTCAACAATTTCTGATTATCCTTGCCCCCGCGATAACACTTCATCAAGCTCTGTTGATGGTATTCCGAGAGATGAGGAGAAGCGATTCCCCGGATTCGTTTCCCGCGCCGGAACGCTCAGACATCGCTGGACTTCAACCCGATCTCGTCCAATTTCCTCTTCGCACTCCCATCGCACTCGTATGAATAACGGCTATAGCCGCGACTTTCCTGATCGAATCTCGGCCCCTGGTAGCTACACGCCAGCATCCCAACGACGGATTTCACGGAACCGTTCCAGGATTAAGCGGGTTTGACACCAGGCGAAACGGAAACACGAAAGAAAACGATGTTCAAAAGTTTTTTATTATTGCGTCTGAATGTTTCAGCAGATCGGAAAGGGCCCAAGATAGGGAACAGTTCAACAGAGTTGCGTTTCAATTGGATTCTTTGCACCTTTGCTTTTAGTTAGGGGTAGTAGTATGCTGTAAAAAGGTTGTAGACTCTGTTGTGTTCGAACGAATGGCGATGGGAGGATGAACTACCTCTTCGGGATCTTTAGCTCAACGATATCCCATTGTTGTTTTTAGTTAGGGATAGTAGTAGGGTGTAGAGAGGTTGTAGACTCTGTTGTATTCGAAAGAATGGCGATGAAAGAGTGAATCACCCTCTCAAGTTCTTTAACTCAATGATACCCCACTGTTGCTCTCCTTGCTAGCAAATCTTACGGAGGGGTTATCGAGTCTATTAGACTTAAGACGATTGCACTCGAGAGATGACCTACTCTAACCGGTTCTTTAATTCCGTCATCTCTACTGCTTCGTGGCTTCTATCAAGCAAATCCTGTAAAGGAGCTATAGGCTCTATTAGTTCTCAAACAACTGTACTCGACCAGCAAAGCCCATGAAGAGGCACCCAAGCTCTGATAGATTCGAAACAATTGCTCTCGAATGAGCTAGCCAATTCAGTCCATTCTGATCATCCTCACTATAATTGCAATAGGTGCACATCTATGACAGCTATGAAAGTCATGGCTACAAGTAAAAGCTACTCTCGACCAGGTCATTTCTTGGCCAAGAGACTCCAATCAATGAGTCATAAATTAATCTTCATTTTCCCATGTCAACAGTTGATCTTTGGTCTGGGTACCCCTCTGCAACTGGACAGCGAGAGCATAATCATAGGCATCTTCGCCAAAATCATCTACGACCTGCCGGACAACGCCACAGATTTCACCGTTCCTGGAGTCTACTACTCCCGCACCCAGAAGAGTAGATGGAGTATCTACAAAATTCTGGAGAAAGTGGCGGGTCTGTACGGATTCGGAGGAAAAGCTTGCGTGATGAAGGCCATTTGCGAGGTCGCATCCGCTCCTTTCGACGGCAAACACGGTCTGCTTGGACAGTTGTTGCAAGTCTTCTTTAAGTAAGTAAAATACGCAGGCATTCGAACGCAAATCCAGGCTTACAAAGACTTAATCCCGACTAACCTGGCTGGCTAACAAAGGACATAACGCACCGCAACGAGACATAATATACAACTTAACGCGCTACAGCAGAGGTACACTCGATGAAAGAATCCCATTCGTCGTTGATACCTTGATCCCTCTATGGCGTAGATCCTTCTGCAGCTTTCAAAAGAGGATTTAGAATATTTCCACCTTTATAGTCTGAGCATACGAGACAAGAAGATTCAAAGGTCACAGGAGTTGATTTTAATCCTTCCGGTTGATTCTTTGTTGATCATTCTGTACAAGGAGATCAAGATGCGAGGGATGATTTCTGTGTAGTACCCGAAAGCTGGAGTGTTCCATGAGGGTTCCATTACTCTGTTTTCTAAGCAACTAACTAAGTTAAGGATTCCCGAGGTATACCTCGGTTGAAGAATAACTATACTTCCTAAGATTTCTACGACCGTCTCACCAGCCTATTCAACTATCAATCTTCTCCAAGCTCCACGTCGGTTCCTCAGAAAAAATTCTACACCCTGTCTCGTCAATTGCTAATCATTGGTTTCAATCCTAGAGTATCAAACGAGGCCCCTCGATCAAACGTAATGCCTTGCGAGTCTCGATCGAGCCGCAAACAGGAAGCTGGACGAAAATCCGCGGCGGGAGTACCGCTGACATAATAAATAACAGTGGATTACAATTGCGTGCCGGTCGTGTAGCGTAGGATTAAACAATGTCCGCACAACGCGACGCCAATTAACAAGAGGGGGTGCGAAATAACTTGGCGGGTTTCTCGCCTATCCGCTCGCATTATTGATCCCGCGAACGCCACGTCGCTCCCTCCCTCCCCCCGCCCTCTCTCCTCGACCCTCTTTCTCCAACCGAATTCTTTTCCACCCCGTTTCTCCTGCCGCGATCTCTCGCGGGGGGGGGGGGGAGGGTGCGACGAATTGCACGGGAACGAGTCGTAAAGCGAAGAGAATTTTTAAAAGATCACGTGTGCATACCGACAGTAATTGCGTGAATAATAACCGGAAAACGATGTAATAAAAATATTTCAAAGCGTGAAAGTTTGAGTTTCGGATTCTGTTAACCGAATTCCCTTGGGACGCTTTTTTTTATGGATTGGCACCGGTTTAAAGTTGATCGTGTAAACTCGATTAAAATTCCTCGACTTTGGGGTCAAGCGACGAGTTGAATAAATTTTGCGCGCAACTTTAATCCAGAGGGACTGTTAATGTTCTGACCAATACCAACGCTCAATCCGTTCAATAAATCTTGAGAGATACTTATAAAAACGTCAAAAAAAATGTCAACTTATCGGCATTGACACTCGAAATTTCCCTTTAATTATTGCCTGTTCTTTCGTAAATTTTTAACCGCGAGACGAATGATTAATTTCATGGAATTCCAGGCCATCCAGCACCGAGGAGGAGTACGACGAGTACGGGGACAGGGAGTACCGAGCGGCCGAGAGTTTGGGCGAGCAGGTGTCGGGAGAGAGCTGCCACGCCCTTTATCCAGAATGCCGCAGAAGTGTGCTCGACGTGTTTTCCACGGTGATCACATGAGACCCGGCTGGAAATCTGGATTCCAACCTCGAAGACGTGAAGCCAGCTACGCCCGTAATCCTGCTCGTTAGAGCCGCTAACGGATCCGCGTTGTCCATTTGCTCCTGTCTCTCGCCATGAACGAGTACCGTTCGATCCCTGAGAAGCTTTCAGAGTGATTCTTCCGGGGCTGCGCAACGATTTTTAACCAGTTTTTGGGGAGACTTATAATCGCCAAGGGGCTTTCCATCCTCTCAACTGTTATTGAGTACAATATTGAGAATATTATTTGATACAACATTGCAGTCTTGTTTTATCTGAATATTTTTAGAAATCTAAAAATTCAAGGCTTGAAATTTTCTATAGGCTTATAGAAACTCCATTGTTAATAAATAATGATCAGCACGTTCCTCAAGAGCATCATAAATTGATAAACACAGCTTTTTTTTTAGCCTTAGACGCAATTCATATTCTTTCTCAGGAATATACTTTGGCGCAACGCTGCAACAGTCTTTGTCTCTTCAAGTAGGGAGATAAACCGACCTCTCGAAATATGATTCGAGTAAAATATTCTGTAATAACTTGTGCATTCCGTTGGAACACGATTCTTCCAACAGGTTGAAGCCGCCCTCCCCCCTCCCCGTCGTCGTCGGTTCAACGCTCGATTGTCTTCAAACGATGCCTAAAATTCATCTCCCCGAGCCCCCGTCGGTCGTTTCTCAAGGTGTTGGGGCAGCGAGGGGGGACGGAAGCCGTGAAAGCATTTCTTAACTCCGCCTGGCTTCCGCGAGCATTCCGCCGCGAGCTTCACGGTCCCGAGTTTCATTTCCCTAAAAGTACCCGCAGCAATCGTCGAGTTCCGCCCGGCGGGCTCTCGTCGGAATCTGAAATTAAAGAATCCTCGCCGCTCGCGAGGTTGGTTCGCTTCAAACGAACCGAGTTACTCGCGAGTGGTCCGATTAGAATTCCCGAATACACCGGAAGTTCCGGTCGCGACTTCCTACATAAGAAGAAGAGCTTCCTTCCCCGAATCGAAAACGTTAGGGATTTTTTTCGGAGGGGACCACGGGACATACTGGACTGAAACTTTTCAGGGCTGTTTGACATACTTATGGAAACAGTACTCTAATTTTTTTCAATTTGTTTTAATAACAAAGTATTTATCAGTTTCATGAGCAACGATTATTTTTAACTATAGAATTTCTGAAATAATTTGAGAACCATTCCGCAAAGGTTTTTATAGTAATTATGGTGTTGTACCAAAGCAGGTAAACGATTAATCAAGACTATCCGCGAATGATTTCGAACGCTTAAAATTTTCCTCGTGGCGTTCACTGATTATCATCGATCGAGAAATATCGATGGAAACTGGTTTTCTCAGGAAGTTCCACCGTGTTGGGCTCTGGCTGAACCGGTTGCAAAACGATAATAGCCGGTGTTATAGCACTTTAAAAAGCATAGTCCATTATCACGCAGGGTGAGCCAAGTAACGTAACGCTTAAAAGCTCCAAGGAAAGTATGTCAGAAGGAGCGAGAGAGAGAAAGAGAAGGGGAGAGCTGGGATCAACATCTGTATAGTATGTGTATATTATATAGAGGAGAAAAACAGCAGAAAGATTATATCACCGGTGCAGCAGAACGTTTGCCTCAGGATACGAGAACTTAAGGCCTGTAATTTGCTCGTGAATTTATTTATCCCGCAATAAAGAGCTTGTTTTCAACGACGGGATTATTAATCAATGAACGAGCATCTAATTCGACCGTAAGGAGCTCCTCTTTTCACGTCAGTTTATTAGAGTTAATGGTCGTGCGATGATTAATAAATGAGATAATTTAGTAACACGTTATGCTCCTTTATGTGAAGAAGGTGTAACCTGAATTATGTTTCTACGGGGTATAGATCGAGTCAGATTTGAGCTTATTAAATATATAGCGAAATCTAGATCGTGTGAAATTGTATCGCGAAAAATATGAGTTTATATTAGAAAACGCTTAAAGTACAAGGAGGAGTAATGGTTATACACAATAAATATACTTAAACGTGAAATAAAATTGGCCGCTGCAAGATATTCGTCACTCGAGGCGCGAATTCCACAGGGAAAAACAGAAAATTTCTCGTCGTTACCCCGCATTTCGCGCGATCGCGCATAATTTTAATAGAATCTCGCGGAAAGTTTTCCGCGTCGGAATCCGGCCGCGTGATACGGCCAGCGTGAAATATATCGCTGAAAATAGAAAAAGGATCGGCCTTGTAATCCGACACTTCGTACTGGTGCGCGTGAAAATACAGAATATTTTCCGAGGCCGGTGTTTTCCGCGCGACGGGAAGCGCTTCACCTCGTTTGGACAAGCTTTCCCCAAATTTCCTTTTTTCTGTTCAAATTCCACGCACCTTTTTCACGCTAATACCGTTTTAACCGTTGGCCCTTGCTCCCTCCAATTTTCCGCGGAAACTAACGGATTTAATGTGCAACATTCGTATAGGAAATGGGAAATAATAAATTATTTTGCGAAGTGTATATAAACGCGTGTGTGCGAGGAAACGATGAGGTAACGAATGCTTGCGGATGTGTGAAGGCTGAAAATTGTTCTGAATTATGGTACATGTACCTTGTGTTTTTAATTTAAGTGTGTACCTTTCTTATTTATATGTCGTGCATTTTTTAAGGAAGCTCATTGTTATTAATTAAAGTTGGTGAGAATTAAGGAACAGATCACGATGTTGAAACCGAGGAAACGTTTCCTTCGTTCTATTGGCCGCGGAGGTAAGATCTGTCTCTCCATTATTACTCGGGAAAGGCGCGCCGAGCGAATTAAGAGCTCTCCCGTTCGTTAATAAATAAATTCAATTACGGTTCAACAACCCGCGGGTCACGAAGAGTCTCTATGTGCTATCATTCGCACATTCTGTCTTTTTGAAGAAAAGAAGTATCTCTAGGATCAAGACGTAATTATTTACGGCAGTGATCTTCTAGATAAGAATAAGCTAGTAACGATGGAAAATTTCAAAATAAAAAGAGAGGGTCACGATCAATTTGTCCACCTACTATTTAGCGAACAATTATTTTAGCGAGCATTAAGCGAGGATCAAGACCTGAAGAAGACCATATGAATCATTTGAACTATAGATATAATTTAAAACGTGGAGAGACTGAACTCTAACTGCTGCACATACCAACACTCTAAACCAGATCTAAGAAAAACAAAATAAAAATTTATATTACAAGTCTTTCATTTAGGGAACACGGTATAGTTCCTTTTGAGTCAAGTAAAATAATACATGTGGGCACTTGAAGAGGTTAGGGTGGGTCCAAGAACGTTCACTAGTTCCTTCATTATTATTCCGCTCTGCTACGTAGCCGCGATAGTGCGAACGATTCAGCGAGACGTGCTTCTTCTACTGTATTTTCATTCGAGTTCTACGAGAACACCGGCAGAAAGTAACGACCGAAGAATGAACAGGGTGGGCTGGGAGGGGCCAGAGAAAATGGCAAACCCTTGGCGCTTTGGATTCTTCGACGGACTGCGAGACGTCTCCGTGCCACGAGGAAAGATACGCTCTTCCTTCCGCAGTTTTTCTTTATTCAAGCCAAATCCGGTTCGCGGATCACGCGGCATGAGAATGAACATGTTTCCTCGCTCGGCGTCACTTTTTTCGGCCAGGTTCTTCATAAATTTCTGATCTTGAAATCTGGTGGCTCACACCTCGCCGTGCGATCGATTTTATGCTCGAGAAATTCGAGTTTTCTCGGAAAACACAATTCGACTTTTTACTTTGCGTTAGAAAGGCTACCACGGACGAGATCAATTTTGACGCTCGATATTCTGAGACATTTTGAAAAACGTGTTTAGTGCATCTTGTAAAAAGAATTCTGTCATAAAGAAATAATTGAAGCAGGTCTCGTTTTTCACAGCTTCTGTTACTTTACATTCGCTTTCTTTTTGCTTCATTTCCTTCGTTTCAATTTACGACTTTCGCAAAGCTCTTTTCTTTTCATTTTTCGCTTCCAGTTAATTTATGTTCATCGCCAAATCTTCTTGATCTATGTTTTCCCCCATTTTCAATTACTTGGGAATGCAACAAGGTGTCTTCAACTTGATAACGAACATACCTAACCAAACTCGGTGTGTCGTGTACGTGTACGCTTAATTTGCCCCTTTTGCAAGGTCGATCTCGCGCCGTGAAAATTCGAGTTTCTCGAGAAATCTTGACTCGACGTTTTATTGTCTTGCTCGCGAAAGAGAATATCCTTACAAAAAACTATCCGCTGTAATTTTCTCCTCTCAACCATCCGTTGGATTAGTTCCATCGAGTAAACCTCAACCAGAGAATCAAGCAATCTCAGGCCAACTGTTATCCCGGCTGAAATATTCAAGAAATGCAGCCTGCCGGGATAGCTCCGAGGAAGTCATGGCCTTCGATCGAACAACGGTCCAGCAAAATGGCCTTCCAGTCAGCGGAGCTATCGTTTATTTACAACGAGACCCTGAAGGAACTGTCTTCTGCCTGGTGCAACGTAATCGGATCACGTCGTGGCGCGCTTCTAAAATTCAGGACCTTCGAAATGTCTTCTTTCGCCCTCCCTCCAATTACCATCCGTGGACATTTTCAGTTTTTCGCTCGACCCTCTTTGCATACCGCTCGAAATTGCCTTCCAAGTGTTGGGAAACGAAACGCCGCTGGATTCCACTGTCGAAAACGGAGACGTTTCCACCGGCAAGCACCGATATTGGACGTTCCCGAAACAAACGGCGCCCATTTTCGCGTTCCCAGTCGAGCTTTTCATCTTTAGAACATTTTTATAAATAACATTTATTACGAGGGTTCTACGAAGAAACTGAGTGATTTTTTTTTTAAGACGGATCCTTGGTGGAATGAATAACAAAATTATAATCTTATTCGTGTGGAATTATTTATAAAATTTGAATGGGATATATTCATACTACTGTAATAACGAGGTTTACGTGACTTATCGAGCAAGAAACTAAACGAGGTTCGATATTTATATACGCAGTGTACT